GGAACGGAAGAAGAGGAAAGGGCGAGAGGAGGAGAGAGGGGGGGAAGGGGGATAGACAAGGGGAAGGGAACACGCACGCATATACCACGCACCGAATGCATGCGCGAGAGTGCGATTCGAGAAAGACAGAGAGAGAGAGAGAGAAATATATAAAGAGAGAGAGAGAGATATATAAAAAAATCAAAAAAAAAAAAAAAGAGAGAGAGAGAGAGAGAGAGAGAGAGAGAGAGAGAGAGAGAGAGAGAGAGAGAAGAGCAGAGAGAGAGAGAGAGAGAGAGAGAGAGAGAGAAAAAAAAAGAGAACAAAAACAACAAAGGGAGAGAGCCTCCCCCCCCTCCCCCCTCTTCTCAGTTTCCGCCTCCTGCCTCCTCCCAACTCCTTCCAACTCCTCCCCCTCTCATCTCCCGTTGTCGTCGTCGTAGCAGCGCTGCCCCGCCTGCTCGACGATTTCACCGTCGTCGCTGAGGGCGTCGATGAGCAGCTCCTCCTCCTCCATGCCGTCGCTGAGGGCGTCGAGGTCGATCGCCTCCCGGGGCGAGGGGGGGGCGGCGAGGCGAGGAGAAGGAGGGGGAGGCGTGGGGGTGGGAGGTGAAGGGAGGAGGAAGGAGAGGAGCAGGAAGAGGAGGAGGAGGAGGGGGAGGAGGAGAATGATATGGAGGAGAGGGGGATGGGAGGGTGGGGGGCGAGGGGGATTGGTGGAGGGATGAGGGGGGCGCGACTGGGGCAAGGGACTAGGCTGGTGGGGGGGGGGCAAGAAGAGGAGGGGCAGGACGAGAAAAGGGAGGGAAGAGGCAAGCAGAAATCATGACTAGGCGGAGGGGTGGGCAAGGGGCGAGGAGAGGTGACGGGGGGGAGAAGGAGGAGGAGGAAGAGGAGGAGGAGGAGGACGGGTCAAGAAGATGGCGAAGAGATGGATGGAGGATTCTCCTCCATCGATCTCCTCCCCGATCCGTCTCCTCCACGACCACCTTCATCCACTTCCTCCTCCATTTATCCTACTCCTGTCCTGGTCCTCGTACTCCTCGGGCCCTTCGATCGATCGCCCGCCCCCCGTGCCCCTTCGATCCCCCTGCTCCTCTTCCCCCGTCCTCCTCCTCCTGCTTCTCCCCGGTTCTCCCCGTTGGGCCGGCCTTGGCGGCCGCCGCCGGCTCGGCGGCCTCCATGGCCCCGCGAGCGGCCCGCGGGGCGCTGGCGGGGGCGGGGGGGGCAGAGGAGGGGGGGGGGAGAAGGAGTTGGGAGGGGGAAGACCACCCTTCTCGCCCTCTTCGTCCTAGGCCCTAGGCTAGCGGCTACTAGCGGCTAGCGGCTAGGGCCTAAGGGCCTAACCGCTAGCCGCTAGCCTAGGCCCTAGGCCCTAGGCCCTAGGCCCTAGGCCCTAGGCCCTAGGCCCTAAGCCCTAGCCCCTATAGCCTACTCCACCCTTCCTCACACCCACACACCCAAAAACCTCCTACTCCTTCCACCCTCCTCCTCCTCCTCCTCCTCCTCCTCCTCCTCCTCCTCCTCCTCCTCCTCCCCCCCGTCTTCCTCCTCCACCTCCTCTGCGTACTCCCCCCCGGCGCAGGGGAGAGGCCCCTCGTGAGAACACCGGGGCCCCTCAGGCGAACAGCCGAAGTCAGGCGAATAGCCCGGGGTCCGTCAGGCGAACAGCCCCCGAGACGCCCGGCGAACAGCCCCGGAGACGTCTCGCGAACAGCCCCGGACCGCGCAGGCGAACAGCCCCTGAACGGCGAGGGCCGCTCACCCTCCTCCTCCTCCTCCCTCCTGCCTCCTCCTCCCTCCTCCTCCTCCTCCTCCTCCTCCTCCTCAGACCCCCAACCCTGACCCTAAACCCAAACCCTAAACCCGAACCTGAAACCCCAAACCCTGACTGAACCCCCCTAACCCCAAACCTAATCCAGAACCCTAACCGTGACCCCATTAACCCCGACCCTAACCCTTAAGTCCTAAACCTAATCCAGAGACCGACGGACAACCGCAAGTTTCCACTCCAAACTCCCCAGAATGTTCTGGACATCGGTTCCACGTGACCCCTCCCCGAACAACTCGGAGAATTCTCGTGCCCCCACAAATCTCTGGAGCCGTTATCTACTTTCTGCGGTGGTGTCGTTGGATTCTGCGGGCAGATCGCTTCTACGATTTTCGCGAGCACCCGCGTCTTCTGAGGGTTCGGCGGGATGACGTAAGCCATCTGCATGCGCTCAAACCAGACCGAACAGCTTTTGCTTACTACCAGCTTTCTGGTCCTGGAATAACCTCGGTGAGCAATGTCGTTTTTGCACGCTCGCGGGCCGAATCCTCGGAGTTCCCCTTGGATCGGGATCCCCGAACCCTTGCCCCGAACCAGGTACCTCAATAGATTTCTGTAGTGAGCAAAAGCTTGTGTTTTACACTTTTTCCTGGTGGGAGCCTCGCTTTCGCTTTAGTCAGGAGCCTCGCTTTCGCTCGAGACATCCTCGCCATTTATAGATCACCCGACGCCGTGGGATCAGGGGGAGCAGGAGGTCACAATAGTTATGATATCTATATAAACCTGCGTGAAGCCCACTGTTTCCTGCAGGATTCCTAACGCAAGAACGCGTACGGAAACGTAGGTCGATAAGTCGGGCGCTTCATACCCGCGCGCGTGCATCTCTCACAAGTTCGCCTTTGCAATGCAAATCTGAAAAAGACCATAACGTTACCTGCAATTTCAAACACATCGGCCGCGCATGGTGATGAGAAGCGTCACCAACCTGCTCGGTGCAACTAGTGTGTCCTTATTAATAAGGACGCATGAGTAGTCGGTTAATCGCCTCACTTGAAAAAAACGAGAACGATGAATGGGTCGATCGTCACAATTTCATCGACACGGTGTACGTTTTCTCGAGGAACCGACGCACGTGACCCACAGACCACCGCATGGGACAAACATCACAAATAATGAAACCGACGTTTCCGTACACTTCCGAACTGTCGCCTTGCACTACGATGCGCCCCAGAACTCCTCGGAAAAAATGCGATAGCGACCCCCTTCAAAACACGACTGACAAGCAAGCAATGCGTGGTGCCACGCGCGGCGTCAATGTTTTACAAGTTCGGAAACCACGTTTTCAAA